AAAAACTTGTTTTAAAACTCCATCCTTAATCTGGATATTAATATTTCTCAGAATAAATAGTATATATACTCTGACCAACAAGAGAATGCGCCACGGCCAAACAAAAGTCAGTGTCTCCACATCCCCGCATGACACCCAACCATCGAGAACAGTCCCACTATGGCAGGATGTTGTGTGGGGATGCACAGAATCGACACATACTCTCCCTGGGCAGAGTATAATATGTAATTCCTTCTCTACAACAATAAACCACCACAAATCAAGGATTAAAACTCAATGTTTATATGAAAATTATACATAATGAATATACCTTACAATAACACAAATCTTTAAATTATTTGAATCCCAAACTCACAACTTGCCCATTTACTATATGCATGACAGTAATTTTTGAATCTAATTGATATCAACAATAAATTATATATTACTAAGACTTTTTTGTTACAAATTGTTACATTCACCTGTCATAGAAAATAACTTTTTTGTATTATAGTATATTAATAATTTCTTAATTTAATTCAATAATAGTATTTTGTCACTATTTTAAAATGTTACCAATAACTGGTAAAACCCTTAAAACATATTTTATTTAATTATTTAGTGAATATAGGTACATGCATATAAGTGCATACATTTTCAAGAATTATATAATATTATTGTAACACAATTTACAAACAACATGCATATTTTCTATTGAATATATTATGGCCATGTAACATTTCCCAAATTGTAAAAGTTATCATTCTGAGCATATTACATACTAAATAGTAAATAGCAATGATTAAAGTGTTATAATGTTATATACAATATTATGTATGTATATCATTTTTTAAAATAATATTTTACATTGTGAACTGTAGCTACTTAAATAGCTTTACTTAAATTTGACAAAGGTACCAAATATCCTATGTAGTATTATATATTGTAATAATTAGTCTATAATTATAAAAACTATTGTTTTTTAATTTTATAAATTACAACTACCATGAAATGAATACAACATTAAAAAGATTTATTAACACCTCAGTTATTATTTTATATTAGGTATGTATAAATTAAAAAATTACTCTATTTATATTACTTAGGTGGTTTATTGTTTCTTGGTTAATGATATGGTCCTAATGTTAGTAACAAATAAAAGCATAATAATATGTACCCTGTTAAGCAGTTGATGTATGTTATGGAGACACGGCAGTGAGCTTCTTTCAATAATTTCCTATGGAATGGAGAACAAATAATATAAGTTATTTTAATATTTCTAACTGAGTATTTATTTAATTTATAAAAAATATTGACTTAGAAATAAATAGGCTAAATTAATACATTTTAAAATTAATCTATTATAAACCTAGTCAGACCATCCTAACTAAAAGCTGTTTCACTATTCACCATGTCGAATAAAAGGAAAAAAAGATTTAACTACATTGGCATCAAAAATAATTAGCAAAACAACATGGTTTTATTAACATGTGAAAATAAATAGCTTAAAAATATTTAAAGACCAATTATTATCATTGAACTATAATAAAATCAATTAACAATTCAGTTTGCAAATATTAGAAAAATTAATAAAGTGGATCTCTTTAATATTTGTCTTTTATCCTATTTTATTTCCAAGTCACACAATTAATATTATTGATTAAAAATCTACTAGTCTGTTTGACAAATTATAAACATAGTTCCGGAACACCGAGCAGGTACAAAAAACAAACCTAGTAAAACCAAGGTAATACAAATTTGAAACGGTTCTCTGATAATTAGGCAGTGAGTAGGTTATAAAAAAAATCAATTATTTTTGGACCAATAATGATTAGAACAATGTGTATTTTAATTTTATTTGTACATTTTAAATTAAAAATGTAAGTTTATAATTTATGATTCATCTGAAATATAGGGTTTAGTAACCCAATTAAAAGGTTGCATCAACCGCATGCGTTTTCTCTGCCTTATCAACACATAACATAGCAAATTGTTTGTTGGGCAGAACACGTTTAACACTTTTAGTTTAAAAATTAGAGTGACCTTTTATAAAATGTAGAAGTAAGAATATTATTTAGTAAGCTTCATAGGATTTTTTTTATATTTTAATTTTAAAGCAAATTATGATTATTTTAAGATTGTATATTGTTTGTGCATTTTAAAATACTCATAACTCGCTTTAAAATTAAAATCCAAAAAAAAAAGGTGGGTAAGTGGATGTCGCTCTGCTGTACAGTAGGTTACAAGTGGGTCACTGTATAATGGATGCTATTAAATTTGAATTCAATGATACAATATCATTGTATAAGAAAAACGATTCTGAGCGAAGACGGTATGTCAGTCTAGGTTTAAGACAAATTATATACATATCGATGGTATTAATAAATTGACCTATAATAAATTCCAAAATTAATCATATCACATTATCACAATATCCATTAGGTACTTAAAACATGTTATACATGAATATCAATAACAAACCCTGATACTATCATAGATATATAATAGTACACTTTAGAAGTTAGAAGTAGGTACCCACGAATAATATTATATAATAACAACAAAATAACTAGGTTTTTTAAGGTTTTTAATATGTAATTTCGTTCAAATTTGAACATAAAATGACTATAAAATAAACTGTGATTGTATATTTTTTAGATTTTTTGGTAAGAGAATTAACTACTTACGTGGAATCTTGTTTTAAATTTTCAATCCTTAGCTATAAAAACTGAACATTTTATATTTATTAATTACGATGATCAATAATTTTCGAGATTTTGAAAAAGTCTGTCAAAATTCGATGTTTAAATGCTTATAAAAAAAAATTGTGCCTATGTATTTTTAATATTTTTCAACTGATATTGTAACAATATATCAGGAGCCTTGTATTAAATTTTTACACTTTTTGGCCCAAAACTTAATTGATATTCATAGAAAAAAAAACTAAAAAAATTAAAAAATGAAAATATCCGTAAACAGCTCAAAAAGAATCAAAATATTTTCAAAATTGTATGGTGTATAGGAAATGCTAATATAAACATTCAGTGAAATTTTCATGTATCTATAGTTATTCGTTTATGAATAACAACAAAATAAGGAAATCGCTACATGAGAAATCGAGTGAACATCCAATGTAGTAAAAATTTGAATTTCAAACGCTCGTAAGAACTTAATTTGACTGTCCGGTAGAGATTTTTTTATTGATAAAGGTAGACAAACTTATGAGTAATCTTGTATTACATTTTCAAATCTTAGATTTAAAAAGAAAAATTTTTACGAATTCTTAACTCAAAATAATTTGCTAATTTTCATGATTTTTCCATATTTTGTCAATTTTTGAACTTTAAATGCTTATAAAAAAAAACTGTGACAAACGATTTTTAATATTTTTCATCTGCCTTTGAAACAATATATTAGGAGCCTTCTATTAAATTTTCAAGTTTTTTTAACCAACCAATAAAATTTTATTGATATTTCTAGAAAAAAAACTAAAAAAAAAATGAAAAATGAAAATGTCCCTAAACAGTTCAAAATAAATCAAAATACTTTGAAAATTTTATCGTCTATAGAAAATGCAAATATAAACGACCAGTGAAAATTTCATGTATCTACGGTCATTTGTTTTAAAGTTACACCAAAACCAAATTCAATTTTCTGAAAAATCGATTTTGCGTAAAAATTCCTGTTTTTCCTTAATTTTTCTTTTGTTTTTCTTGGCGCTTTTGAAAAGTACTGGGAATTTTAAATTTTGACCTCCCCAATGCACCAACGATATTCACTTTCCAATCGAACAAGATACTGAAGTCGAAAATCGAAGCATTATTTCGACTAGTTATCGTGTACACAGACACAAAAATAAAAAAAATAAAAATAAAAACACACATCATTGTAAAACCAATACATTCATCGCTCCGCTCAGAATCTAAAACCTATGAGATTCACTAGATAACAATTTTACCTTTGAATTATAAAAGAGGTCAAGTCACTCTAATTTATAAGCTAACAGAGCTAAAGGGATCTGCTGTGAGTACAATTTTCTATGGTATGCGTTTAAAAGGCAGAGAGCACGCATGAGGGTGTAGAGTCCTCTTAATGAAATATCGGTGTTCATGCAATACCAAATATTGAAATATGTTGTGAATATAATATGTATGTGAAATAAATAAATGTATATTATGTAAATGCAAATATTCAACAACAAACAAATCCAAAACCGATAAATTTAGATCAATGAATACTGACTTACTTCCGTTTCAGACTCATAGTAAATGAAGTTCTTAGTCGTCAATACAAACCATCTCTGTTTGTAGTTAATAGGCATGAATCGTTTTTTGTTTTGCGACCGCTTCACCATCAGACCTTGTTTGATGATGTCACAGTCGTCTAAGTCATCTTTGCCAGCCATCATTGTGTATCTAACAACACACCAAAACCATATAAAAATCCTGATAGGTTTATAAAAATTAAAAAAATTCAAGAACCTGTTTGGACACCCAAAGATTGTAATCATAATAATATATGCACAGATCATAAATGGAAAAAAAAATGTAGGTACCTATTATATGAGTTTTGCTTTGGCCATCTTCTACACTTTTCTGGTGCTTTAAATGTAGGTACGTCAAAAGTTAGATAAATAAAAACGTATTTCCCACAGGACCCAAATAAACGAAAAGTTAATTATATATTTATATTATTATCATTCAATACTCACGGATTTCCGTTATTATTTCAACCTTCGTCGGATACGGGTAGTTGGTCGCGGGTGGTACATCATCGTATTGTGTCGTTTGCGGACGGACTGTCGCGTTTTGCTGCAGCGGATGTGTTCGGAAGAAAAATTAAAAAATAATATTGTAAAGGAGAAATAATGAGGGAGAAAAATCACACGACAACGACGAAGGAAGAGAAGACTAAAGAGGTCTGTGGCAGACGTTAGCGTTGCCAGCACAGGGGGACGGTGTAGTTGGCGACGACGAAACGAAATTTAAAAAAATAATAATAAAATAAATAAATAATGGATATAAAACGAAGAAAAAAAAACCGAAAACCAGTTTTCGTATATATCTTGTATGTATAATAATAATAATATCTGTTAGTTCCTTAGTGGTGAAAGGGTCGGGCGGGGGTGAGGACGTCGTGCGTTTGTTCGGTGGTGCTGCTATCAACGCGGCTAACAGGTGACCGCGACTGAATTACTGGTTACCAGGTTGCAACCGGAATACCGGATATCCGAGTGGATAATTTGGGCCGCAGCAGCTGATAGCAGATCGAACGCCGTTATCGCCAATGGATCTCGTGAATAGTGATTACCCGTTAACAACAATAACAAAATGACAACAAGCATTTTATAAGCAGACCGAGCGTCGACTCGACTACTCGAGTGAGTGACTGTCGAAGAGTCTACCGACTTCTGACTTGAACTGAAAACCGAGTGCCTCCTCTGCGTAGCGACTGCCAAGTTTATGGTAATCGGCAATCGTTAATCGCAATAATATTTCATTACCGGATAATAATACTATAAACAGTGAACTGTGAATAATATTGTATGCGGTCATTCGTTTACGGCCTTTGCGACCTTTTGTAGCAGTATTATCCACGTGTCGTACAGGTACGTAGCGCTCAGATCCACCCACAACAAATTCAAGTTACAACAGTGCTCAAGTAAGTGTGATTCGTAGAATCCAATTTTCTATTCACACAGTCCGAAAATCCCGTTTTTAAAGTACAGTGAAAACTGTCTAAAGCGGAATCGCATGGGACCAACAAAAAATTCCGCTTCAAGCAGTTTTCCGCTTTATTCAATAAAACGGAAAAATTTCGGAATTCCCAAATTTCGTTGTTAATAATTTCATTATCATTATGCTTCATTGCTTTTATCATTTTACCATTTCCTACAAAAAATATAAAATAATTTATATTTACGTTTTTAAATTACGTACACACTCATCCATATTATGTACATTATATAAACATTCTTAAAATAAATAAAAAGATGAAATTTAACCATTTAACCATTCTTCTTTAATTCTATTTTGATTTTTAAGAGTATCGTAAACCTGAGTTTTTCCACAATTAAATATATTTTGTAATTGTCTTACTGAATGTCCTTTTGTACTCATATCGATCAGTTGATATTTTTCATTTAATGAAAGACACTTATATTTTGGCATTTTAATATTTAATACGATGAACGGAAGATAAAATTAAATTAAAAGTGTAAGTACGACTGTTGGTGTAAGACTGTTTCACAGTTACAAAGAAGACATTTAATATCGAATATGTACCTACAATAGAACAATTTTATCTTCTTTATCTATCACTATTTAACGATGTACATTGTACATACGCAATACTCATATCGGCATATCTATATTTTATACCTTATTTTTGGTTTAGGTTTGACACGCGCGTGTCATTTTTCCGGTTTATGCAAGGTTTTTACTTGCATGGGACTTACAAAATCGTTCCGTTTCCGCGTTTTGAAGGTTTCGTTTTATTGAAGTTGAGCGTCTACGTAAAACTATAGGTACGTGCCGGGACCATAGAAAAATTCCGTATTGGATAGTTTTCCGTTTTATTCAGGATCCGCTTTAGACAGTTTTCACTGTTTAACATTTTGAAAAAAACTAGTTAGGTACTCATTTCATAGGCGTGTCTACGGTGGCAGCCTAGGGTGCCTGGGCTGCCCCTGCAATTTTTGAAAGGTACCAGTCAACCTAGTTTTAAATCAGAAGGATCACAACATTTATTTTTTTTTAAACTTGATTTTTTTGTATGTATCGTTTTAATTAACATTTACTTACAAAGATATGTTCAACAAAATCAGGTGGATAATTTCTTTATTTAACATGTATTCTCAAATTGATTTCCTGACTTCTTAAATCGGAAAACCCTACTATAAAGACTTTAGACAGACGGCGACGGTACGGTACGCATCTAGGTATTATTGATATTATTGTTGTATTATGTTTGATTTGTAGCTAGGTGGTATGATCCAAGGCTGTAGATAAATAGGGATCAAAATTTCCGAAAAACGACTGGGTTTTTTACAGTTTATTTTCGGAAAAATTGGAAAAATTTGGTTTCATTTAAAACCACCTTTTTTTTTTACTTATTTTAAATTTTAAGCGTAAATACAATTTTTTAATTTTCCAAAAATTCGGTTTTTTTCGAATTTTTCCGACATTTTGATCCCTATGGCCTATAGATGAATAATATTTTTGAAGTTACTGTAGTTTATTATTGTAAATAGATAATTTAGACTTTTTTTTTAATTAAATAAATATTTCATTGTGGTGGGGGTGGTGGGGGTTAAACAAATACAGCTTTGGGTGTATAGGGCTTTTTCGGTTCACTAATAACTAATAGGGTAGCGCCGATCATTAGCTAGGCTGCCCCTGCTGATGAAGTCTAGTCACGCCTATGACTCAGTTTAATTACTTTAATATTGTCCTACCTGAATGGCTGAATATGTCAAAAAATTAACTTTTTTTAGAATTTTTATTTTTTGTTCCTCAATAGGCACATTATTTAGCAATGGCAAATAACCAAGAAGCAATGCAAGTATGTTCCTTGCCTTTACCACCTGTGCAATACTTCCAAAATTATTCAGACGAAAACATTAGGCGTGGTCGAGCTTCTAAGCCTCCACCAATAATTCAAGAGACATACACAATGTTTGGAAATCCATATAATGCTGAAGATAGTATAATAAGACCTCTAGAAAGTCAGGTATGTTATGGTAATAATATCATAAATTATGAATTATGATCATAATTTGTTATTATAATTTGTAATCTTCTATAATGTTCCTTGTTATTATTATGTTTCGGCTGAATTAAATTAAACAATATTATAATAGAAATTATAAAACATATAATACATTCACATATTATATAAATGTAAGCCTAATCTAAAATATGTGATTTTAGGGTTTTAAACGTCTGTACCCTCAACATTTTGATAGACGACGTGAATTACGTAAACTTAACCATTCGTTACTGGTTAACTTTCTTGACTTGCTGGATCTACTAATCCAATGCCCCGACTCTCCTAGACGAGCTGAAAAAGTTGATGATATAAGTCTACTGTTTATACACATACACCATTTATTAAATGAGTTTCGTCCTCACCAAGCACGAGAAACTGTTCGTGTCATGTTAGACTTGCAGAGGAGGCAAAGAAATGAAACCACAGTACGATTGCAAAAACACATAGACAAGGTAAAATTCTACATATCTGATGTTTATAATATTCATAATAATTGTAAACTTATATTTCTTAGGTTAGCGATATTTTACAACAAACGTTAGAAAATTTGCCAGACACAGAGCTTGATTCTAAACTCATGGTGGACACATCCAAAATTGATCGTTTAGAACAGAAAAATGCCGATGAACCTAGAGTTGACAAATGTGTACCTAAAGATAAATTGATGTGTCATCTTATTGATACAATGAATCCCAACTGAAAATTGGACACTTTAATTATCTTTTGTTATTGTTTTATATATTTATACTTAAAATATTTTAAACTAACAATATATTTGTCATTCTTTTACACTTGAATCATATATGTCCACATATACATTACCTTTGTGCTTACTAAAATTTGAAACAATGAATAATTGAATATACTTTTTTTATTGATAATAATTGGTTATTATTTGAAAAAAACACCGCTAAAATATCTAATCATTGTTTCATTATGTTTATCAACTATAAAATTAATTTTTCTTAATTATTTAATTATGAATTTATGTAGATTTTAGTATTACGTGTATTTTTTCTTATAAATTAAAGCAAATAAATTTTGTTATGGTATGTTTTTGAATAATAATTTTTTTTGTGACTATTGAGTGGTATTTTTTTACTCTTATTACAATAATATGTAGTTTTAATAGTTTTACTAAGCCATTTTAAACAGTACTTGTATCCGCCAGAAATGTATTCATTTGTTTTGTTGCTATTGTGGAACCATATTTAAGAAAATATGACAATACAAAACCATTGTCTTAGAAGACAGCGAACAGAACAATGCTTTAACAAGAAACATTATAAATTGGAGTGGCATATTTAGGAATTGGCAGGGAACAAGGAAGTGGAAGGCTTTGCCCCTCAAACCCCCATAGGGTTTCCAATACTTACCTACATTTTTCTTGCTATATTTAGAAAATTGTATTGTATAGTTCTGCTGCTTGAATCAAGTATAACTATTTTATATTATAAATCAATAAGAAAGGAAATACTGATTAACGTCAAGAAAAACATAATTACATCCATGAATTATTGGCGATATTTCAATGCGCAGTTCACGGTTATAATAATAAAAATGTAGTATGTTTGGTCTACAATACAAATTTTATTATATTAAGTGGTTTTACATGAAATTAATAATTATTAAAATAAAAATATTACGATTTTATATATTAAAAAAATAAAACATTTAATATAGTAATTATACTATAATTTTTTATTTCAAGTATTTAAAAGAGGGCGCTACACCTACATGCATCGTCTTGCAAACGCATTACGTCATGTTAAATCCATTTAACTCTGCTATGTTTAATATTGGAGCGAATTGATCTATTATCAAATTAAGAAGGAATAATATTATAATATCTAGTAAATCTCATAGGTTTTTTTATCGTTTATTTTTAGAGAGTAAATTGTACATTGTTTGACCATCTTATTATACTCATAACTAGCTTTAAAATTAAAATATAAAAAAAAAAACCTGAGATTCAGTAGGAAAATTCTTACTTATAAATTTGATAATAGGTCAATTCGCTCTTACATTAAACATAGCAGAGGTAAATAATTTATTAAAAACGTACAATTTGCTATGTTATGCATTTGTACTTAGCAAGACAGAGACAACACATGAGGGTATAGCGTACTCTTAGTTATAATTATTAATTAATAATCCGTATCCTAGTCAGAGTAACTTGCTATAATATGCCACAAGCAATATTAAACCTACTTAACTGTCATTACCTATACTAGCACGATTTTAAAGGAATGATAAAATGTGTATCGTTGGGAGATACTAAGAAAAATTGAGTGGTTTAAAATAATAATTGATACGGATATCCTAGCGATAGTAGAACATAAAATTGGTAGACCGCATAATATACTAATATATTTTATAGTAAGTAGTACACAAAATGGCAGTAGACCGCAAATTAAGATAGCCAATAAATTATTTATACACAATTATTGAGTATAACATAATAAATAATTATGATTATGGGTCACGACTGCTTGAAGATAATTTTTGAAATAATGAAATAAAGGGTTGCAGCCGTTGAAGGTGGAAGCAACCACAGAATTCAACAAAATATAACATTAGAAACAGTTACTGTTTTATTATATACAAAAGTTGTCATACATTTTATATAAAAAAAAATAATAATGTAAAAGTTAATACTACTACTGCCATTTATAAAAAATTATGAATATACTAAATTATATTATTTTATAAGTTCTTTGACAGTTTCAAGTTTTTGCTGTTTTTTTGTTAACTAAAACTTTTTTTTAAAAATATTGCACTTATTATGATGAAAAATATATACTTTCAAATTAAGGAAGAACCAATTTTTTTATTATTTGTCCAAAACTGTAATCTTAAGAATAAATCTAGAATGTTACAAGGTAACTAAGCTAAGTGAATTTACAAAATATTTGGTCAGAAAATAATTGAATATATACATAGTTCAATAACACTAAATCATATTATATAATTAGCATAATTGCTTAAAAATAAATGAAAAATATTAACATTTCACAATTAAATCAGTAATGTACTTATTATATGAAAAGTACTAAGAACATGGTATGAAAAAAAATTGAAATGGATTGAAACGTAATATATATTAGTATGGTCGCCATGAACGACGATTACCATTGCTTGTATCAAATGATCTTTTAGTGTTCCAGCCAGTACTACTACCACCACGACGATTGTTACCTAAAATGAAAATTTTATGAATGTTTATCACAGTTAATAAAGTTTGCAAGTGGTATAGTTACTATTTGTATTATTTGAGAATTTGGCACTAAATTTATCCTTTGGAGGCTGATATAGTTGTTGGCTATTATTGCTGCCATCGATCCGTTTAGATTTTCCATCTACTGTAATAGGCTCATGTTTTTTACCTTCCTGAATGATTTGGGCCTAATAATAAAAATAATATATTTTATATTTGTATCACTTTCATACTTTAAAGTCTAAATCAAGTATTACATACAAGTTTGGACTTAGTCGCACCACCAAGCCAGGATAGGTTGACAGTTGCTTTAAATCTAGGAGGTATATTGAATAGCTCTTTTATTAATGTGTTTATGTTACAAGCTAATTTCAATCCTTCTAATTTTTTTTCAACAATTGGATCATTTTTTACATCTTCTTCCCCCTTTTCTCTTAAGTCTTGCCTGACAACTTTTACAAATGTTTGAGTACATGTTCCAACATACAATAACCTAAAAATAACAAGACATTTATATTTAAAATAAATTAACAATCACATTTATTTTTATTTATTTTACTTTTTCTTAAAATCTTTCTGTCTTTCAGGATCTTTACTCAAAAAATCTGGACATTGTTTTCCTAGTTTGTGAAAAGTATACAAAAGTGCTTCAACACGATGTAAATCCATATCTTCAACTTTCTTATTGGAATCATTCTCAGGAACAGTAACTAAATCCTAAAATTGGGTATTCATATAAGTTTAAATAATTTACTCAAGGTTAGAAGTAATATTTAGTTTTTATTCAACTAAGTAGAAACTAGATATGTTTATACTTTCTGGGTTGATATTTTTATTTGAGAAATTAGAATTGGGTATTTGAAAACTTATTGTTAACTGACAGTTTGTTTTAAAAATTGAATCTGCACAATTAATAGTTATAGAACAAAATATTTACACGCATACCAAATTGTATAGCACAGATTTGGGTCCAAACTCCAAACTAGACCATATAACTGATATTATACTAGACTTCTTTCAGAAACGAGTTCAACACTTATCTAGAAATATACATCCATACTGGGCCAGACTTCCTTATATTTATTTATTTTTAAAATGAATACAAATTACAAATTACAAACTTACAGGCTAACCTCAAAATAATATGAAGGAAAAGAATAAATAAGTTAATAGTACAAAATAAATTAATAACAAGAAATTTGTATAAAAAAGTCAACGTTAGGGTAGAAGAGGTTTATTATCTTTATAATGAGTAGTAGATCTAAAAATTTAAAATACGAAATTTAATAGATTGGCAGGGAGGGTACTTTGATAAAGACTTGTGAAGTAAAGTTGGAGTTTTGGAATTTTATTCAAGAAAAAAAACTAATCTTAGTTTATGGTTTTATTGTTCAGGAAATGTTTATTTGTGGCATGCCTGCGATCAGACAGGGACGTTCTATATTAAAGTAGTAACCATAAGGTGGTAAGGTAATTTAAGGTAAAACTCTCAAAATAAATTAGCTCAGTGGGTCAGAAATATTCAGTTTGAGCAGATCTTCAGGAGATATATAATAGTTAACCTATTCAAGTATTATATTTTATTAATTATTCACCTAATTGTATAGCAGATGATACATTTAATTGTCTACACTTATTATTTCAAAAAGTCTTATCTTTTTTGAAAATATTCTTTTTTTATAATTTGGTGTTGTTTTAAAATATTTATGAAAAAAAATGTATTATTTAATTTTAAGTTTTTATATTTTTGAATGATACCATACATTTTTAATTTCATACTACGGAGCAGAATGTTATTCGGAGTATTTCAATCAATAAAGATCAAATTCTGGATAAGCAGTCTATTAGTTATAACTTGTAATCATTTAAAGTTTAGATGTGTTAGATATTATCGGAGTAGTGGTTAACACTTTGTGGGGTACTCTTGTATCACTCTACTCCGCACATCTGAACTATAAATTTATATACTATAAATTTATATGCACTTAAAACCTTAGAAATAAGATGTTTCTATGCTCTATAATTTCATCAAAATATTCTTTAATATGCAAAAATATTCTTTTATGAAAAAATATTCTTTTTCATAAAAATGTATCAAATACTGAAAAAATAAATAAAAGTAATAGTTTATAAAATGTATAAGATAGTTAAATTTATCCTAATTGTTAAAAAAATATTCAAACATTCATATTTAACCTATAGGCTACAGGTAATATGATGATATACTAGTATACCTATATTGTTTAATTGTATTTTAGATGTATGAGTGTAACACATAGTTACATACCTAAACTTCAGATTTATGAACTCAAAAACCAATAATAATAACATGTTTTAAATAATAAAAACAAAAACGTATTGTATATTGTTGAATAACATAATAATATTATGTATTAAAACAATGTAAACTTAAATAATTCAGCCTTATGAATTCAAAAAATAAAATAATATTGCATAGAATAGTCAAATAAAAGAATAATATTATGTATTAAAACAATGTAAACTTAAATAATTCAGCCTTATGAATTCAAAAAATAAAATAATATTGCATAAAATAGTTAAATAAAAGAATAATATTATGTATTAAAACAACTTAAACTTAATTCAGCCTTATGAATTCAAAAAATAAAATAATTTTGCATAAAATAGTTAAATAAAAGAATAATATTATGTATTAAAACAACTTAAACTTAACATAGAATACTAGCCTATTGTATATTCTATACAATTCTATGCTACTACCATGGTCCGTCTATAAAAATAAGATAAAAGAATATATACCTAGAAAAAAATTTAGAATTGATTTTCTTATCAATTTTATATTCTTTTCAATATTCCTTTCGTCAAGATAAATAATATGATAGGTACTATAAAAAAAAAAAATTTTATAAACTTAGATTTTTTATAAAATATTCATATTAGACCCAAATATACCAATATATTCCTAAAACATGTTTTTTGCACAAAATATTCTTTAACCCTGAAATATTCTTTTTTATGCTCTAAAAACTTTTGTATATCAGTTTATAGGTAAATGAATCGTCCAGAAAGCTTATCAAATTGAAGCTGCATACTCTCAGTAAAAAGATGTAAAAACATAAAAATCCGGTCTCTACTTATAACAAATAAAGCACTTGTCCTAAATTTGATCTTGAATATGAAATTAAAAATGTATGGTCACAATAAAAATAGTAAAATTTATAACAATAAAAATTTTGTTTTGACGATATAATAATATGAAGAAAAAAATATTTTCAAAAAAGTTGAAGTTTTTCAAAATAATGAATATTGAATGTAGACACTTCAATGGACTTTCCTATACCCATGACAAAGTATGTGGGTATGTCAGCAACATTGTGATGAGCATATTCCCCACTTTTTACAGTGTGTTACGTTCTCCGCCTCTCATTCATATACCAAAGCATGAAGATCGGAGAACCTAACATATACGAAAAAGTGGGAAAAGCAATTCAAATAAGTATTGTTGCTGACATACCTCTATATTTTGTCATGCCTGTACCTATATTATTTTACAATTTTACTAAAACATGCAAAATGAGATACCTAATGTAGATATTTTAGGTTCTTCTATAAAAAAAATTTGACAATACCTAAATAGTAAATGAACTCTTTAAAAATGTAAATGACTTACTATTAGAGCTTGATACACTTGTCCAACTACTGCTTCAGGATTCATCAGTTTACCACAATATGGTACAGATTCTGCTAATGATTTTAAAATGATAAACTGTTTATCATTATCTTTTATAAGGGTATAGCGATTCAGTAATTCACATATATACACAATAAACTTAGTGGATTCTACATGAGCCTGAAATAAAATTATAGTTATGGTTAATAATTCAACTAACATTTGAACTTTGCAACAAATATTTACCGAAAAAAATGGAATAGAAAAATCCAGACAAGTTATGAACCGATTGACTTGATCTAAATCTTTAGGATTAAAAAACTGGTCAAGTTCAGCAGTACTTGCCAAAAGTTCAACGAGTTCTTTTTGTCCATCTGGTGTGTTTATTAGATGAGTCGATGATAAGATAGTCATGAGTGTTTCAAATTCTTCACAAGTTATATTTTGCATAACTTTTTTGCATTCTGCTATTATTAAATCTTCTACATCTCTTTTAATTATTTCTTTACCCAATGCCATTACTTTATTCAATATAAACTTCATAGAACGCTCCCTTACGATTTCTTCGTTTGATTGCATTTGACTAAATATTCCAGTTAAGGCACCTTAATGGATTTAAAAATAAGTTAACACATACTTCCAGAAATTGTTCATATTGTATGAAAATATTTACCTTTAGCATCTATTTTAAAGAGTGATAATAATGAATTCTGGGCTACGAGTAATTCTTGTGGGTCATCAGCCTGTAGTAACTGAGCCAATATATCTGCTATTTTAGTCAGGTATTCTTTAGCCTCTTTACATAATACCGGTAAATCTTTAATTGCTTGTTTTCGTATCTAAGTACATAAATAGACATAAATTAATATTGATTAATGACTAAAATATATTTAATATTATATTGTATTGAATATTATATTATCATATACATATATTGATCGCCTATTTACTTACACAAATATCTTCATCTTCACAAAGATCAAGCTGAGCCTCTAATGCTTGAGCAGCAAGGTTTGGAAAATATTTAAAAAATCTGGTTATAAATTGAGATGCAAGTCTTTTTTCTTTTGTTGATCCTTTGACTGCTGATAATATTTCCAAATACTCAGGTTCTTTCTACAAAATATTTAAACAATTTATTTCTAACAGTACAAGTACGTAGGTAAATTTCAAATATTACAAGAAGTTAATGGACTTACTCATAAATTATAATGTAAATATTATACCTAACTACCCAAGTAATGTAATCACTAATCAACTATATACCATTTTTTTTTTTTACTGAAACCTATGTAGGTACCTACAGATTGTTACAAAATAATAAATACTTATCAGAGAACATCCGTAGAAAGTGATAACATAATTTTAGAATTGAGTTTCAAAAAAGATATAAATCGGGGTGATACTACTGAATAAGTTTCATCTATTTTATGGTGATACATTTAAATTACTTGGTCAGACCAGTAAATTGAATGTATTGTAAAATTATTTATTATTAGGTTTATTATCTTACTAACAACAATATTAAGAGCTATAATCTAATGATTAGGACTCGGACGTTATTGCACAAAAAATATTATACAATTTTAGCATTTGGGAAAGTTGATTTCAAGTAGACTTTACGATGAATTAGTAAATTTAATTTAATTGAATTAAGTACCAAAACTATAACATATTATTTATAATGGGTTGGTTCAATATCCATAACATAGTTATAATATAATGGCTCACATACGGATAAGAAAATTAAAGATAAAAAGAGAATAAAAAAATGTTTGAAACTGAAACAGTAAAGGGTAATATTGTTGTAGGTAGCATCCAAAGAAATCTTAATATTCACTTTGATTGCTCTGTCAACCTGAGAGGATACGCCAAGGAACTAAAGTAGATACTGGAGTGTAGTCGCGTAGCTGATGATAAATTTTGAATAAAAAAAGCAACAAAAGTTCAGAATCTTTGGATACATATACAATATTTATTAACTCAGACCTACCATATGTTGTATAGGGACTGCATATTATTCTAAGGTGGAGATCATTAATTGGAGCACATAGTTTAAATTCAGAGCAAATTTTGTTATATTCTAGTATTAATACCTATGAATTTATAATTTTTAAACCATTTATAAACAGCTGATCATGTTAATCTTTAATCTCAATGTTAACTATCTTACAATTTAAATACCAATTAAAATTCAAGTACCTATCAAGAAGATAATTTTTCAATTCAAATTTTACTTACTGTTTCAACAAACAAACATACCTAATCATGTCAGGTATTTAGGTATTTTGGGAACTTTTAAGCCATTTTATGAGAAAAAAAAATATAACGACCAAATAATTTTTTGTTTTAAGTTTAGGTACCTATGTTTTAAATTATTATTCTCGTGTCTCAACTAGGTCAAGTTAAATTAAAATAAAAAAAAATTTTAGTTGTAGTTCTTCCACTTTTAAATAATAGTTAATCCCGAAGATCTTTGACGCATAAAATATATGAATGCGAAAAACTTACCTCGGCAATGTTTTCCTTGGCGTCGGCCAGTATACCAAAGTATTTGTACATTTTTTGGATGTTGTCTTCGGCCTCCATTTTCCTACTGTGCGAATGATTCCTGTCGACGATCGGTTAACGGATGAAGCGGGAATATAAACGTCTTTAGAGTGGCGAATAGAGACGGTCGGCAAATACGAATTCTTAACCGTCAAACGGTATTATACAAACGGAAAGCACTAAGCTACAACTATATAGTGCGGACTGCGGTCTGCGGGTGGGTTTGGGAAATCAAGATTCAAGATTCGAGAAATCAGAATGATAATCCGCGATCCGTATAGTTTCGTACGTAAATAATAATTATCAAAACGGACGGCGTTCCGGTACGACTGGTATGCGGTATACGGTAGTCACAACGTGTTTCAGTGTTTGGCCTACGGACCAGTGTCGTCCACAAGCGAAACATAAAAATTATATAATTTAATATGATATTAATTATTATTATAATTCTAAGTTTATTATAAGTTTATTCATCACGATTGGATCGACATCAGCGGACTTGGTGGATCCAAAATTCCAAAACGATCACAGAACAATAATATTATTTCATACGCATTGTGCTGTTGTTCGATTTGAATGTTGTGTGTCGTTTCAAACCATATAGATGTTTCAAACGCGATGTCGTTGTTGTGGCACCAATGCATTGATTAAACACTGTTTTATCACAGTATGGCGTATCCGATCGGTTCACAGACTCAACCAAGCTCCAAGCTATCTAAAGGCAAAAATCTTGAACCGTCGGTCTGTTGCCCAATGCCCAGTCTGGGTATCGAATATTCGGCTTTGGATTACTTTCCTTTAATTTTTTAATAGTTTGTTTGGTTTTTGTGTAGATTTTATGAAAGACAGCAATCACAACATTCCTTAGAACGGCATCGTCGGTCTTGTGAGTTTTTCTGGTAAGTTTAAATGTCATCGTTTTTCAATTATTATTCTACTGAATTCTTTTAAATCCAATAATTAATATTATACGATATAACAGTGGGATACAAACTATAACTATAAGGCCATCTAACTATTGCATAGTATTAACATTGTTACCCATTAAACCCAAGTCATAAACTTGAACCTACTCACGGGGAAATAGGAATTAAACAGTGGGCAAACTGCAAGGTGCACTGAATAATATTATAATATGTATCGATTTAAAATCAGGACAACACATTTTCTATAGCCTCACTCACTCGACATGACAATATAATATACATCTTATATTTTTAAGAGGGTCTTGTTAGATTTGTATTAGATCACTATATTAGAACATAACAATTTATTGGTACATGGCATATCCATTCAGTTCTAATTTTTTGTATTGAAAATCATAGTAATTGTTCTGTTTATAGTTTATGGACTAGGTAACTAATAAATAAATATTACTATTAGATTTTAATCAAATTATACATATTATGATAAAATTAAATCATTATTTACAATATTATATTATATTCTTATGTATGTATTGAAATTATATTATTTTTATGCAGAGATTTTGTAATTAAATTACAAAAATGGATTACCAAAATCGTCCTGGAGGTAAAACTGGTGGTGGTGGTGTTGCCTCATGGACAGAGACTAATAAGGATAGACGTGAACGTCTTAGGCAATTGGCTTTGGAAACTATTGACCTACAAAAAGATCCTTATTTTATGAAAAATCATTTAGGTAATTATTTTAATATTACACTAAGTAAATAAAAAAATTTATAATTAATAATGTATTCATGTTTTCAGGGTCCTATGAATGTAAACTTTGTCTGACTCTACATAATAACGAGGGCAGTTATTTGGCCCATACACAAGGTAAAAAGCATCAAGCAAATTTAGCACGCCGAGCAGCTAAAGAAGCTAAAGATGCTCCACAACAGCCAGCTCCTGAAAAACCCCGGGTAGAAACTAAAAAGTTTGTTAAGATTGGACGACCTGGATATCGAGTTACAAAACAAAAAGATGCAGAAACAGGCCAACAGAGTTTACTTTTTCAAATTGATTATCCTGGTTTGTAATTTTGTTTTATTTATTAATTTGTTATGTTAGTTTTCAATTTGAGTACATGGCCGTTTAACTTTTATTATATTATCTATGTTTAGAAATTACTGATAATGTACGACCACGTCATCGTTTTATGTCGGCATATGAACAAAGAATTGAGCCACCAGACAGAAAATGGCAGTATTTGTTGTTTGCCGCAGAACCTTACGAAACAATTTCTTTTAAAGTTCCAAGTCGTGAAGTGGATAAATCTGAAATGAAATTTTGGGCTCATTGGAATACCCAAGCAAAACAATTTTATTTGCAATTTGCGTACAAAGTTGAACAAATGAAGCCACCACCTCCAATGAAACCTCCTCCACCTTCTTTACCACCTCCACCGCAACATAACATGATGCATCAACCTGGTTCAAATATGATGTCTCATATGTTCCCTCCTCCACCTATGTATAATCCTGGTCCACCTCAAATGATGAATAATATGATACCTCCACCACCTCAATTGATGGGTTAATAACTTTATGGAATTACGTAATTATACTGTAATAATTTTAAATATCTTTGTTCACTGTCTAAAAGACTCCATAAATATTTTTCTTTACTATAAAACTGTAAGTATTTCAATAAGTATAATTTTAAATTTTGTTTAAATCAATTTTTAAAGTGTGTTCAATAAAAGTTATTTGCATTTTGAGTATACAATATAAAACTATGCATAACATTTTTGCCTTGCACCTATAATTATTATTAGAGTCAGTGGCATACATACAAGGGGGGATTGATTAATCCTCGCCTAAAATTTAAAAATATTTTTATGTAAACACATAACTTTTTTATATAACCCATCCCATTAAAAATATTTGTATACGCCACTGATTAGAGTGTACCCATATTCTGGTTATTCTAACATATAAATAGTTAATTGTTTAATATTCGCATGTATCTTACAGACTACAAAAATAATATTATGTCAAAGTCTTTTGCTATTTGTAGACATTTTATATTATTTTAAATAAGCTATACTTTAATATGTATAAAATATTTTACATTATAGTTGTGCTAAAAATATAGAAAATGTGATAAAGAAGGGTAATTTATGAAAAACGTGCAGAATGTTTCCAATTTTGGAACCAGGTGAGTTTCAGAATTGGTGACTTAAACTGTGGCCCGCCAGCCACTGGATCAAAATGCGAGCCACCGCTGTAAGGGGCCTATTATTTTGTCAGCCTAAAGTTATATCAGTTGTTATCCAATTGATATTTTATTTAGTATTAAAAGATTTTGGGTAATATTTGTATTATTTTCATACATTCATACATTAACGGGATTGGATACCGTAGTTTTCTGTCTTTGTCTAACGCATGCGCAACATACAATATTCTACTAATTTTACTTCTATCAGTCCAATCGTTGTAATTAAAGTGATAAGAATTCTGAAAATTAATTTGAACTCAGCGTGAAATCTACTTGAGATCGGTAGGGCAAGTTTTTCAGTTTTATTTAATAATATTTTTTTAACATTACTATAAGATTCAATATTTTTCAAAAACCTTTTACAAATTTGTGAAATGTTGAAGCCAAAATTCAAAAATGTAATCCGACTGATCTCAAGAAGTCTTCACGCTGAATTCAAATACGTTTTCAGAATTTTTATTTCATCAATACAACGATTGGACTGATTGAAGTAAAATTAGTAGAAAATCGTATGTCGCTCGTGTGTTAGACAAAGGCAGAAAATCACGGTATCCAATCATTATTATACTTATTATTTCTAGTGTCTACTGATACAAAAAAATATAATTATAATAATTATATCTTATTATACCTCCAGTGAGCTTTATCCTGATATGGCTGTGGGTAGCTATAGCTCATGAGTGCTTTGTACCGGATATTTGTTTTATATGCTTTGTCATCAGTCATTAGTCATTACTCATTACTATAAGGCATAAAGGGTTGAAAAGATGAAAAATTATACAAAAAATTAATCTAATTTGTATAACTTTTTATTATTTTTTATAGGAGGCTACTAGTGGTTGTACGCACATTAGACTTCTCACCTTAGAATTTAAATCATATTATATACTATGGTCTATGATCTAAGCTTCTCGCCCTAAATTCACAGTAATAATTTTATAATGATATCCGTTCTCCGCCATCATTAAACATTTCAAATGTTTACAATGAAAATGAGCGTTATGCTTATGCAATATGTTATACATTTATAATGTAATTAAATACCTATAGAAAACAAATAATTATCCAACAAAGTAAAATAAATACATTTTATTTTATTATCAGAGATCATGATCACTGCTGGACTCGCTGCAGTTACAAGTTCAATATACTAATAAAAAAAAATTCCAACTAGATTGCAATATTAATATAATATTAAATATTTGTTACTAAAAACAAAAAAGTGGGTAAGTGGGTGTCGCTTTGCTGTACAGTAGGTTACAGTTGGGTGACTGACGACTGTAATGGATGTTGTTACATTTTAATTCAATGATATAACATAATTGGGTACGAAAAATGATTCTGAGCGGATAAGGTTTGTAGGATAGATATTTTATATTATATTTAGTATTATTTATATTGTTATTACTTATTACTCATTACTAATTACTAATACTGTAGCCGGTTAAGCTGAATTATTATTATTTGTTTATTATCATATTTGTATATAATAATATAGGTACCTACTTAAGAAGTTTCGAGTAAATTGTAAATTGTTTTAAATAATATTTTAAAAATTTACCTAATGCAAAACTAAAATCGTTCTTCTTCGTTAAAATATCTAACATAAGTCAGTACACAAATTGCGTCCAGCCTTATTCTTATCTAAACGATCACACCATATCCGTACGACCGTACAGTCTGAAAATTATATTTTCCACATTATTATATTTTATCCCCTATTACCTAATATCCAGGGCCGTGTTAAGCTTTTTGGCGCCCAGGGGCACTCATTTTTAAGCGGTACTGACCCCTCTCTTCTTTATATCATCCACTTATTGACTACTTCGCACTAGTATTTCAGGTATGTGAAAAAGTATAGGATGACTTTTTTTGGAGACTCCAAAAGATTATCATCTATATTTTTAATTTTCTGATGATCGTGATCCCTGATGTTGTGTTGACATAAAACAAATATAACTGAAATGGCTAATTTGGTCAATTTTAAATGTGCATTACAATACCTTAACATAGATTTAGTGGGTAATAAGTGTTTATTAAGCTATCATATAGTTATAAATTATAATGTTGAAAACTTTATCTAAATTTAGTTTAGTTTTATTAAAAAAATTGCATTACATAAACAAATTATAACAATTTTTTTCTCGCTTTCCCTTTAGAAAATGTATTAACTAATTCACTCCAATCAATATTGTTTGTAATTTCTGTTTCCATACATAAGACCGATAATTGTGAAGTTTTTTCACTTGATAATGATGATCGAAGGTATGTTTTAACTTTTTTAAGAACAGAGAATGATCGTTCACCACTTGAGTTAGAACATGGCAAACATGTAAATATTTTTAATGCAATTTATATTGATGGAAATGTAGTGACTATAGGAGAAGTTGTTAATGCTTTCAATAAAATGTGTATAGATGTTTTTTGATTTTAGTGAATTTTTTGATTTTCAGTTTATTATATCATTATTTTTAGTACATAAGTAGGTACCTTCATAAAATTGAATTCGATTAATTTTTATTTTATTATCGGTACGACAAAAATATATTTCTAAATATATAACTAAGGAAGTAATCATCGTAATTTTTTCATTAAAATTTCTCAAGCTCGAGGCGCCCCTTGATTTTACCAAACTGTGGCGCCCGGGGGCAAATGACCCCTTTGCCCCCCCCCTTAACACGGCCCTGCTAATATCTAACTGTTTTGAAGAAAAGTTTTTAACTGGTAGTACATTAAATTCTTCATACTTAAACTAATATACTATATTACAGTATACATGGAAACGTCTACTATTATTTAAGATTAATCTCAAAATTGTTTAAGTATTAATTTCTGGTAAAAAATGGCTTTAGTATATATCGGTAAGCGTAGCTATAGGTTCATGCGACAAAGTACTGAATTATTCTAATTATTATAATCAATACCTATAGTCTAAATTATATATATTTATTATCTATTTATCGTTATGTTATAAGGAACTTGTAAATATGTAATTAAATTAGGTACTAGGTATTAGGTAGGCAGATATAAGTACGTTAAGTACCTACCTACGGCTACTTAGAAAGTAACGTTGTTATATGAATCATTTTTATAGTAGTTATTAGATTAATAACTGACTTTGACACTAGGTTAGTAAAGTTAATATTATCTATTAGGTTGCAGGTGTATAAAAGAACTTGTCCTGACTGACTGATTCATTATCGCCTAGCCGGAATAGCAGAATCTAAGAGGAAGACATTTGGTCAGTAGATTCGTTTTATGACGTAGAGACCAACTAAGAAAGGGTTTTCCAAAATTCACATTTTAAATAGCTGCCCTCAAAAAAGGATTTTGAAATTCATAGTGGAGATTGAGAATTGTTTATCTTAAATGATTACCATTGATTGCAGATTATAATAGTAGAAATTAGTTGTTTTATATTTTTTTTGTACATAAATATTTACCATTGGACATTGGTTACTCGACCAGATCAGGTACCATATCTACAATAACATTCATCAAATTGTCGTTCACGTTTCCATGGCCTCGATTAAAGAAACTTTATCTTAAAACTAAATGTATATGGTTGTAACTTATATAGGTAGGTACCTACTCAAAAGCTACCTACTCGATTTTATTTGACGAAAATCTCAGAGATTGTTTTAAGAGATATCAGAAAAATTTAGAGTTTAAACCACGTTAAAAAATATACCAAGTGCGAAATCCAACCCATGACTTGTGGTTGCTCACCTAAGTTGAATTATTTCACAAAGCTATAATAGGTACACTGACGCCGATTTGTCCATGAATTGAGATTGGCCACCCCACTAAAACTGAGATACACCTTTTATTTATGGCTATAATATAGGGTAGGTACCTACTTACTTATATAGGTACTATACATAGGCGCAATTAGGGGGCTCACTGCTCAGCCCCCTCAAAAATATTCAAAGCCCCTCCAAAAACCATGCAGTACCGTTATATTGCTAAATAAAAAAAAAATGTATGTGATAACTACTGAAAAAAAAAGTTATAAAATACATTTTTTTTATTTTATTTTAGTTACACAATACCTATTATAGTGCGCAACTAGTATATGATCTATGACAGGGAATAGGGATGGCAACCCTTTTGAACTCTGCGTGCCCAAAATTACCTTTTTTTTTTTTTAGAGCGTGCCATAAATATTAAAAATATTATATTTTGGTTGTATATAATTAATGTATTAGTATAATAAGATTAGTTTAGGTACATAATAATAATAATATATAATAATATCATTTATTTTCATGTGATTTTTGTTGTTGAACACTTGATGCCAATTCGTTGATATTTGGTTAA